TATTTTTCTCTCTCCTAATATAGTCCTTTAATTTTTTCAATAACACTTGCCATAAATATACTCCATCTAGATTTTTTTATATTATTAATTAACTATTTATGGAATATTAATTACTTTTCAACTCTCGAGACGAGACATTTCTTTTAACTTTTAGAAAATATTTTCTCTACACTTTATCAATTTAGAAAACTTGGAGTGTAAAAAAAAAAAAAAGGAAGCGTTAACAAGTAAATTGCATCCCTCCTGCCCATATCAACAAACTTGCTACTAGTAAGTTATATTCATAGAATCATATAGACAAGCAGGACGAGTAGTCTTGTCTTTATTTTATTTTATTTTTTATTTTATTTTTTTTGGCTCAAACAAAAAGGCGACAATTTGTATCCTCTTATATGAAAGAACGTGGCTGAGTGAGAAATATGAATGTTAAGCTAGCTATAGGATTGTATAGCCAATAAAAACAAAAAAGGCTAGCTATAAGATGAATTTCAATCGGTTTAACTAGGAAAAAACAAATACTAGTGGTACTCGTAGTACAATCTCAACCCAGTGATACACAAATTCATTCATATCGTTTCTTGCTTTCTTTCCTTTTTTTTTTTTTTTCCGAGTATCCTAAATTGATTTAAGTGTAAAATGACAATATTCTTGAAAGTTAAATTAATTGAGATAAAAAAAATACAGGTGAAATATTTATGATAAGTGTTAGTAAGTAATTAATGGAATATACATTAAGAAAGAAAAAATTTATTAATTTAAATAAACATGAAAAAGGACACAAATATCAGTCATTAATTAGATGAGTGTACCACATTATTAAAATGACGTGGTACATCTGGTGTACTGAATAATTAATTAGGATAAAATTAACGGAGAGAATTATTTTAATACATTAATATTAATACATTATGGAACTGTGTCCTAAATGCGCTATTCGATCGGGAAATTAAAAAAAAAAAAAAAAAAAAAAAAAAAAAAAAAGAAGGAGCTTGGACCGTCTGACCATGTATACAGTTATCTCGCCACCAACCATCATAAGAAAATAAGACATGATTCTTGCCTTAGACTAATTCAGTATGGCTCATGCTTCCAGTGGCGTCATTTGTTGTTGAGGTTGACTTATAAATAAAGGGCTCTTCCTTATAGTAATTCCAACTCTTAAACATTCTACTTGTTTTTTTTGGTTTTCTCTCTTTGTTAATTAAGACCATAAACATTCTCCTAGTTGACTTCATGGATATTCCTTCCCTCCAGGTTCTAATAACCCTTGCTCTTTTTGCTTCCTCAGTCATTCTCTACTATGCACTGCTCAGAAAAAAGAGCAAGCCGACTCGTATTACCCCTGGAGTTCAAGCTCCTGAGCCGGAGGGTGCATGGCCAATTATAGGCCACCTCCACCTCCTCGGCGGCGGTGATCAGCTCCTCTACCGGACCCTCGGCGCTATGGCCGACAACTACGGCCCCGCGTTCAACATCCGACTCGGAAGCCGCCGCGCATTCGTCGTGAACAGCTGGGATGTGGCCAAGGACTGCTTCACTGCCAACGACAAGGCGCTGGCTTCCCGCCCCACCACCGTCGCCGCCAAGCACATGGGTTACAACTACGCCGTCTTCGGCTTCGCGCCCTACAGCCCTTTCTGGCGCGAGATGCGGAAGATCGCCACCCTCGAGCTCCTCTCCAACCGGCGCCTCGAGATGCTCAAGCACGTCAGGATCTCCGAGATCGACACCGGGATCCAGGACCTGTACGACAGGGTCCAAAACGGCGCGCATCCCGTCGTCGTTGAGCTGAGCCGGTGGTTGGACGAGCTGACGCTCAACATGGTGGTGAGGATGGTGGCAGGAAAGCGGTATTTCGGGGCGTTGGCCGAGTGCAACGGGGACGAGGCGCAGCGATGCCAGAAGGCGATCTGTGAGTTTTTTCATTTGATAGGGATATTTGTGGTGTCGGACGCGCTTCCGTTTCTGTGGTGGCTGGATTTGCATGGCCATGAGAGGGCGATGAAGAGGACGGCCAAGGAGTTGGATGCTATTCTTGGAGGGTGGCTGGAGGAGCATCGTCGGAGGAGGGCTTCTAAAATGGCTGATTCAGATCAGGACTTCATTGACGTTATGTTGTCGCTTCAGGAAGGAGGAGAGCTTTCCAATTTTCAGTATGATGCGGATATTAGCATCAAGTCTACATGTCTGGTATGTTGGATAAATTAACATATGTAGCTGACAATTTGAATTTGTAGCTTAACTACCATTAAAAGCCGCAACTAGTGGGATATATATATATATATATATATATATATTGTGAGCTAACGTGGTTGTTGCTTTTTTTTACTATTCTCTTTTCTCATGGTACACTTTTTTTAACCATTTCTGCGGAGCTATATAATTAAATATGGTAATTATACTTTCATTTTGTACAGGCGCTTATACTAGGAGGAAGCGATACCACAGCAGGCACACTGACATGGGCGATATCACTCCTCCTCAACAACAGCCACGCCTTAAAGAAAGCACAACAAGAGTTGGACATCGAAGTAGGCACGAATCGACTAGTTGACGATTCAGACATTAAAAACCTCGTCTATCTTCAAGCCATTATCAAAGAAACCCTCCGTCTCTACCCAGCCGGCCCACTTCTCGGGCCCAGGGAAGCCTTAGAAGACTGCACCGTATCCGGCTATCATGTGCCAGCTGGCACCCGCTTAGTGGTCAACGTGTGGAAGATTCAACGTGACCCGACGGTTTGGTCAAACCCAGAGGCTTTTGAACCGGAGAGGTTTCTGACGACCCATGCCCACGTGGACGTTAGAGGGCAGCAATTCGAGCTCATTCCTTTTGGGTCGGGTCGAAGGTCTTGCCCCGGCGCGTCGTTCGCACTCCAAGTGCTCCATCTGACGCTGGCGCGTCTGCTTCAAGCCTTCGAGTTCTCCAACCCATTGGATGGGCGGCCTGTGGACATGACCGAGAACCCAGGTTTGACCATCCCCAAGGCCCACCCACTGGAGGTTCTCCTCAGCCCTCGCCTCCCTCGGGAGCTCTATGGCGTTTGAAAGTTATTATTTTGTAAGACTTTTGAGAGATGCGTTGATTTGAATAAATAAATATGTATCAGATTACGTCATGTTAATTATTTACCTGATCATATGAGAAACCATCTATATTATACAGAACATTTTTCATGAAATTAAACCAAGTGCTTTAAACGAAACAATACATATATGCAAGTAAATTTATTAACTTCATGGGAATATACAAGCCTGTGACATTCATGCAGTCCAATAAAATTCATTAATATGAAATATGATCATCCATTAGAAAAAAAATTTCAACAGATAATCCAATCTTATAATATTGACGAAAGTGCGCAAAATCAGACGAATTTCCATGATGCTAGGCTTAAAAATATCGTCTCACACTATATAGTAATATCTTTTGTGAATGATTAACAGATAGGCCGTAGAAGATCCTCCCTATAAATATATATATATAAAAAAAAAACAAATATGAGAAGAGTCCACAAGATCAGCATTCCGGAAAACATACTTGTCAAAGAAAGAAGGATGCCGATAGAATTAAAAAAAAAATTAGAAATTTCGGAAAACGATTCCACAGCTAACTAGTGCCAAATGATTCCTCATACATGCATATATAATAGAAGTTAAGCTAGCTTCTAGTTATCTAGCATGAGTATATTTGAAACTTTATTAAATTCTTAAAAGCATTGCTTGTAAGCTTCCGTCGTATGTGGTTAATTAATAATATCGCGAATTATTTATGTATTACATCACATGTGATACCTAGTATAAATCAGTCTGGAGATAATATTTAGACCATTTAGATATTTAGATTGCGGTCTCGTAAAGATAATAATGAAAATGATATATATACTTTTTTATATCCTGTTAATTGACATGTAATCTGTTACTCTATTAAATATATCTGTTAATTGACCTTGTCATTTGAGCCTCAACACAAGTTTCAATGGTGAATTTACCTTTGAAAATGCATGAGTCTGGATCTTTATCCCTTATTCTTTTAACAAACTAAAAAGATTATGAATCAAGAGTAACAAATAAAAATCTTGACCCATACACTTTTAAGGGGTATTTATTAAGATTATCCCCTATATTTAGAATCAATATGAAAAGTGGGTATGTGATTCAAGTTAATTACACAAGTCCTTATGGTGTACTCCTAACACAAGTAAGGAGAGTAAAAATTGTGCTATCCAATTTTCTGTTGCCTCATATTTATAAAGTTTTAAGAGAGCTCTTTACTTTATCTTAAAGTCAAAATAATAGAAGATTGGTTATCATTTATATACTTTTCTATTTAATTTTAGAAACACAAATTCTCTCTCTCTCTCTCTCTTAAAACCAGCCGCTTGATATCACTGTGGTTGGCGTCCAATGCTGCTAGGAGAAGGAGACATTTTCTCTTTTTATCCGGCTTTCAATTGTGATTTAAATTCAAATTCAAATTCAATCAAAGTCAAACTTTAATTTTCTTTTGAATTTAATTGGATAACTTGTCAAATAAGTAAACCAAATAACTTAGAGAAAAGGCAACTAAATCCTAGAGGGATTCTTCCTTATGCCACACGCCTCTGCACCTCCCTGTGCCACACGCCTCTGCATCTCCATGTGCCACACGCCTCTGCACCTCCCTGTGCCTGGGTGTGTGGCCTCCTGTAGTCCACTACAGTGTGTTACAAAATTAATTAATTCAAATAATCATATTATTTGTTTCAAAATTAATTAATTCAAATAATCGCATTATTTGTTTCAAAATTAATTAATTCAAATAATCACATTATTTGTTCTAAAATTAATTAATTCAAATAATCACATTATTTATTTTGATTGATATTAATTCCCCATAATTCATATTGTCTTCCAAATATTACAAGAATGATGTGGGAACTCATGGACTTATAATTCTAAGCTTCAATAAAATTAATAATTAATTAAACTTTTTAGTTAATTAACTAATTTTATTAATTTCAAGAGTTACTCGACTATAGACTTGGACTTGTACTGTCAAAATTATTGACATCCGGGCCAGCGTTAAAATATTTCCAACAAAACGTAGAAATTACGGAACCCCACTACAAATCAAACAAACCTCTTTTGATTAGTACTTTGTCCGAAGATAACAACTCCCATTCCAAAACTCCATTATAATCTACAAGACTACAATCATGGAGTTTCTTTTCCGTCTTTTAGACACTGCCATAAATTCAAGGCCGTCTGAGTTTTACCAAAATTGCAATATGGCTTCTTTACTACTTCCACATGATCTAACTGCTGTCATGGCAGGACTAATATTATGTGCCATAGTCTTTATTTACTATTTCTTAACACGTATGTGGGGAATTGGCAAGGGCAAAGCACCACCTGAAGCCTCAGGAGGTTGGCCATTATTTAGTCACCTTTCTTTGTTAAAAGGACCTAAGCCATCCCATATAAACTTGGGTGCCATGGCCGCCGTATGTGGACCATTCTTCACCATCCGAATCGGGTCATCTAGTTTATGTTCGTTCTCCGAATTGACAGTTGCTTAAATATGTGATATTTGCAAAACTAGTAGTATGCCTAGTATAAATCAGTCTCAAGATTATATTTAGACCATTTAGATATTCAGATTGGAGCCTCGTAAAGAGAATAATAACAATGATACGTATACTTTTTCTATCCTTAATTTATCTGAATCCGGATTCAGCAAAAAAAAAAAAAAAAAAAAAAAACAGAGAGAGAGAGAGAGAGAGAGAGAAATCTCTGAATCCGGACAATTACTTTAGAGATGATTTCAAAACTGGAAATTGACATGTCATCTGTTAAATCTATTAATATATCCGTCACTTTAAGGATAAGATCCTCCTAATCTTTATGGTATATAAAAAATAGTTAATTAAGCTTTCATCCTAATACTAATTTCCTTTTCAATGTTAAGTGCTTACTACAAGATAATGTTTGCTAGCATATAAAGTAGTTTGAGCATTTTGCAAAAGACAGCATAAGTGGGCCCGGCGTTACAATTTTTTCAAACAAAAAGAAGAAAAAACGGAACACCATTATAAATCAAACAAACCCTTTTTCGCTAAGTTTGCCCAAAGATAACATTTCAACACCATTCAAAAGTCCATTATAATGTACAAGACTACAATCATGGAGTTTCTTCTCCGTCATATAGACACTGCCGTAGCTGGATTTTTGGCCATACTACTATTTCTCTACTCAGTCCAAAAAAGATCATCTAGACTCAGAAGAAACGACAGCAGAATATCACCACCTGAAGCCGCTGGCAGGTGGCCTATAATCGGACATCTCCATCTACTAGGAGGATCTCAACTTCCCCATATAACTTTGGCAAACTTGGCTGATAAATATGGACCGATCTTCACAATCCACATAGGTGTTCATCCAACTTTGGTAATAAGCAGCTGGGAATCTGCGAAAGAGTGCTTCACAACCCACGATTTGGCTGTTTCAACACGTCCCAAGCTCATTTCATCAGAAATCTTGGGATGGAACTACGCCAGCTTTGGTTTTGCCCCGTACGGCCCTTACTGGCGAGAAATACGGAAAATAACGACCTCGGAGCTACTCTCAAACAAACGCCTGGAAAAACTCAGGCACGTTCGAGAGTCCGAGGTTGAGAGCTTTGTGAAAAATCTTTACAAGTTGTGGACCAAGAGGGAGACGGGCTCGGACCGTGTGATGGTAGAGATGGGGAAGCGGATTGGGGACGTAAATCTGAACGTGGCACTCAGAGTAGTCGCCCGGAAGAGGTACTTTGATGACGATTCGAGGGATGAGAAAGAGGCGCGGCGATGCAAGGAGGCCATGAGGGAGTTCTTTCGTTTGACGGGGCTATTTTTGGTAGGGGACGCCATTCCTTTCCTGAGGTGGTTGGATTTGGGTGGATACGAGAAGGCCATGAAGAAAACGCACGACGAATTGGAGAGTATTGTTGAGGAATGGTTAGAGGAACATCGACAGAGGAGGGGTTCTGGTAACTTTGGTGGAGAGAAAGACTTCATGGATGTGATGCTTTCGAAGCTTGAGGAGTCCACTGATCTCTCTGGTTATGATGCTGATATCGTCAACAAAGCTACATGCATGGTAACTACTTTCGTGTTCTTTTTTTTTTCCCCTCAAACACATGACTAGTTGACAGTTGAAGAATGATAATTCTCATTTTTAGCATTTTTAAGATTAAGATTTAAGATTTAAGATTCCATTTCTCAATTAAAGTCTAGTACTCTAAATAGGTTTTGCTAATTTTGTGAAATTCAGAAAATGTCCTTTTTTTTTTTTTGAAAAATAAAAGTTGGCTTATGTAAATCCACAATCGATTTTTAGGACTGAAAAACATACATTGAAAAAGACCAGTTTTGCCCAGACCCATACTCAAAATATGTGAAAATTTGCGATACAGTTAAAAAAAAAAAAAAAAAAACTAAGCAGACAGACACTAACTTAAGCTTAATTGAGTAAATATTTGAAATAATTATTCTTTTTTTATTTATAATTTAATATTCTCTTTACAGAATATAATTTCAGGGGGAACTGATACAACTGCAGTAACCTTAACTTGGGCACTGAGTTTATTGCTAAACAACAAAAGTGTGCTGCAGAAGGTTCAAGAAGAATTGGACCTCCACGTTGGTAAGGAAAGACCGGTGAAGGAATCGGACATAAGCAACTTGGTGTATCTCCAAGCAGTGGTGAAAGAGACGCTAAGGTTGTACCCAGCTGGACCACTCTCAGGGATAAGAGAATTCTCCGAGGACTGCACCATAGGAGGCTACCACGTGCCTAAAGGAACCCGACTGATTACCAACCTTTGGAAGATCCAAACGGACCCCAAAACATGGTCCGATGATCCGTTGGAGTTCAAGCCGGACAGATTCCTCACCACACACAAGGATGTTGATGTTAAGGGCAAGCATTTCGAGCTTATCCCTTTTGGCGCCGGAAGAAGGTCCTGCCCTGGGATGACTTATGGCCTGCAAATGACGCACTTGGTGATTGCTTGTTTGTTGCAAGCGTTCGATGTTTTCACCGATGGGCCGGTCGATATGACAGCTATATTTGGATTGACAAATGCTAAAGCCACTCCGCTTGAAGTTCTTGTCAAACCTCGCTTGTCTATTTCTCTCTACGAGTGATTATCATGTTAGATCCTAAATCACGACACTTAGTCGCATGGGTATATGTTTTTGGGGACTATACTGCATGAACATGTATGAGCCAATGCATGGGTCCCATTTGCTGTCGGATCTGCCTAGTAGTAAATGTTTAATTTGTATCGTACTTTATTTTTGTTTTCTTTCTTTGTGCTAAAGTTGTAGTTTACTTCACTGATGATAACAAATATAATTAACTAAGAAAGCTAACTAACTTCGTTTACACTTTGATGGCAAAAGAGGCGAAAAAAGCAACATAGATAGCTTTGGAGCTACTCAGTAAAAAAAAAAAAAAAAAAAAAAGATTCAAGTAAGGTATAGAAGAAAATCCGATATGCTTCCTGGATCTTTCTCTGTCTCGAATCCGGTAAATATTATAGAGTGATATAGTAGAGAAATATACATGTGCAACGGGATGACGTTAAGAGCAATTTAATTTTGATCTCACCTTTGGCGGTGGAACACGGTCATTATCTGCCTCCAAATGGCGCATGCACCTGTGATTTTTGTTGCTGTTCCCAGCGATGTTTTGACAGATGGACTGCTCGATCACATGACATCTATCTTTGTACTAACAAATGTCAAAGCAACTAGCTCTCTTGAAGTTTTATTTTGTCAAACCTCGGTTTTGTAAATCGCGACACGTGAGCATATGGTCATGACAGTGAAGCGGTATATTCTGAGTTTTCTGTGGTTGCACTATCATATGTGCAATATTGTTTGCCGTCAATGGAAGTTATAAATCTGCAAGTACCTTCTGAGCATATAACTATTGCTTTATTGTTTTTATTCCCCAAATATATGTTGCTTAAGTCCAATACTAAAGAGACATGCATGAGACACCTAAATGGCACCCAGTACTTACAGAAACGCCTAAAGATAAACTTCAGCCCACTAATTTCCTCAACAGCCACCTGTGTCCTCCATCATTAATAACATTCCACTCCCTGCCGAGGCTTTATAGTTAGCGATTACCACCTCTCAACGGCAAAGCTAGGCATCTTTTATAAACACGACATTATGCCCTCCTCTTTAAATTAATGAAAACGTCTTTATTTACTATTTCTTAACAAACCTCTTTTGCATGCTTCATATTTCAATTTTCAAGGCTGTCTGAGTTTTACCAAAATTGCAATATGGCTTCATTACTACTTCCACATGAACAATCTGCTATCATGGCAGGATTAATATTATGTGCCATAGTCTTTGTTTTACTATTTCTTAACACGAATGTGGGGAGTTAGTAAAGGCACAACACCACCTGAAGCTTTGGGAGGTTGGCCATTATTTGGTCAACTTTCCTTGTCAAAAGGACCTAAGCCTCCCCACATAAATTTGGGTGCCATATTGGCCGACATATGTGGACCAATCTTCACCATCCGAATCGGGTCTCATCGAGGTTTGGTGGTGAGTCGCTCCGAGATGGCTAAGGAATGCTTTACCAGCAACGACTTGTCCTTAGCCTCACGTCCGAACTTGCTAGCCGCGAAGCGCGCACATTGGCTATAACTACGCCATGTTCGGTTTTGCACCTCATGCACTCTTTTGGCGCGAGATTCGTAAGATAGCCATGGTCGAGTTGCTCTCGAACCGCCGGCCTGAGCTTCTCAAACACATTCAAATCTCCAAAGTGGCATCTTTCGTTAAGGAGTTACCCAAACATTGTAGACTACCAAATTGTTCATTCGGGCCCAGTTTCGGCAGAGATGAAGTAATGGTTTTCGGACTGACTCTCAACATGATTCTCAGAATGCTCGCTGGGGAAGCGTTACTCTAATAATGCAATTATTGATAAAGAATAAGAATATTCTTAAAAAGGAAAGCCAGAATGTTGTCGGTGTTGTCAAAGTCATTACATACTCAATAATGTAATGTCATAAAATGGCTAAGCAACAAAGTTCATTAAAGCAAAATGCTCAGCATCACTCTTTTCTAATCATACAATTACAATATCAAGTATTGACAACGTCCACATCTGAAAAAAGATTGCGGTGAATGAGCTAACACATTAATCTTGTTGTGCTGTTTGTACCCGCGGGGGATGCGATTCCTTATCTCGGGTGGCTGGATTTAGGCGGCTATGAAAAGGCCATGAAGAAAACTGCAAAGGCTTTAGATGGTATTGTTGGTGAATGGCTTGAAGAGCATAAGCTGAATAGAGCAGAAATGAATAATGAAGGGAAAAAGGAACAAGACTTCATGGATGTGATGCTCTCTGTACTTCACGGTTCAGACCTTGGGGGTTTTTATGTTGATACAATCAACAAGGCCACAATTTTGTTACGCACAAAATTTTATTGTCTTATTATTATTACTAGTGGAAAAGCACTTGCATTCCTTAAATCTAACTTAATAATAAAAGAAAATAAATCAGACCTTGGGGGTTTTTATGTTGATACAATCAACAAGGCCACAATTTTGGTACGCACAAAATTTTATTGTCTTATTATTATTACTAGTTGAAAAGCACTTGCATTCCTTAAATCTAACTTAATAATAAAAGAAAATAAAATTTGAAAACTACACTTTAAAACTTTTGGCTACCAAATATGTTATTTGGTAGCAAAAAAACTAATTTTTGCTACCAAATCAACAATTTGGAGCAAAAATTTTTTTGTTCTGTAACAAATTTTTGATAGCAAAATATCATATGTAGCTACCAAATTCACTTTTGGTAGCCGAAAACTCACTAGACTTTTTTAAAAGTAAGATATTATGCTATAAAATAAATATTTTACTACTATTTTTATTGTGTTAGATATACTTAAAAACCATCTCCATTACATTATCGTATATCTTAAAAAAGATTATGATTAATCTCATATATATGTATATTATATGTATAACTACTTCATAACATGTATACTATGCATCATATAAACTCATGTACAATAAAAAGTTTGAATGCAACTTATTTACAAAATATAAATATACTACTTAATTGATAAAATGTAAATCAATTTGATTTGGTAGTATTAAATATGTTATTTTCACTTTTTCATGTTATGAAAAAAATAATAATAATAAAAGATAAGCAAACTTTTAATACTACATTTTAAAGACTTTTCGCTACCAAACATGTTATTTGGTAGCCAAAAAAATATTTTCGCTACCAAATCAACAATTTGGTAGCAAAGGTCTTATTCTGCTACTAAACTTTAGTAACAAAACCTAACATTTAGCTACCAAATTCATTTTAGTAGCCATAAACTAATTAGGCTATTTTGAAAGCTAGATATTATCTTTCAAAAATAATTTTTTCTCGTTTTACTTTTGTGAAAGTAATTTCATTTGCATGTGTTTTTATTTAATCTTTTTATCAATTATTGAAATAATTTTCTTTAAATGTGTCTCTCCTTAATTATTTTCCATCTAACTCCTGTTATGCCAAAAGTTATCTTTACGCATATTTTTTTTTCTACAGAGCTCCCATATAGCACTTTTCAAGCTACCATTTGGTAGCTGCACCTGCATTTCCTCCCCTCAAATCACACACACTTTTTTTTTTTTTTTTTACTTTTTCTATTATTATTATTTTTTAATGTTTTGTTCTTTTTTTTTTAATAATTTTTTTAGGAGTGTTTTGCTCTTCCCTAATCTTATTTTGTTATTTTGTTATGTTTTTTCTTATTTTGCCAAAGGCTTTTTTACAGTTAATCTTTTAACGGCTATCTTTACATCCAATCTAATATCTAACATATATAAAAGTAATTTTTTTCTTATTATTATTTTTTAATTTTTCCTCTTTTTCTTTTTTAATGTTTTTTAATTTTTTCTTCTTTTCTTTTACCTATTGTATTTTTTATTTCATTTGGTAGCCGCACCTGCACCTCCTCCCCTCAAACCACACACACCTTTTTTTTTCTTTTTACTTTTTCTATTTTTATTATTTTTTAATGTTGTTCTTTTTTTAAATTTTTTTAGGTTTGTTTTGCTCTTCCCTAATCTTATTTTGTTATTTTGTGATGTTTTTTCTTATTTTGTCAAAGGCTTTTTTTTATAATTAATCTTTTAACGACTCTGTATATCTAATCGAACATCTAACATATATAAAAGCAACTTTCTTCTTATTTTTTTTTTTCACTTTTCCTCTTTTCCTTTTTTTTAATGTTTTTTTAAATTTTTCTTCTTTTCTTTTACCTATTGTCTTTTTTATTTCTTTGGTAATATTCTTTTTCAATTTTTTAATATTGTCTTTTTGAAATACTTTCCTTTTTCTTACTTTTATTAAAATAATTCCTTTAAAAAATGTTTCTACTTTTGTTTTGTCAAAAACTCTTATGTAACTTTATTTTTTTAACTTTTCCTCTTTTCCTCCTTTTATTAAAATTTTTTTTTATTTTTTCTTCTTTTCTTTTGCTAATTGATTTTTTTTTTGTTTTTTTCCCTAACATTGTCTGTTAAATTCTTTTTACAATATCTTTCTTTGAAATACTTTCTTTTCCTTACTTTATTTTAATTAAAATAATTCATTTTATATCTATCCATGCATAAGGTTTTTTTTTTTTTTTTTTTTTTTTCCCTTAATAAAGTTTTTTTTTTTTTTTTTTTTTTTTTTTTTAAATAAAAACTCCTATATAACCTTAATTTTTTTCAATATGATTTTTTAAAATATTTTTTTTGTCTCTTTCTCCAATTGATGGACTTAACTTCTTAGGAGGCTACGTGTTTTGACGCGAGATAAAACTTATAAATTTATTTTCCACATACGTAGCTCCTGGCTCAATTAGTATATATAAGTACGCGTAAATGTATTAACTTTCTGGGAATATATTCATTCTTGTGAGATGTTCATGCAGTCCATGAAAATTCATTAAGATGAAATATGATCATCTATCAGAAACAAATTTTGAACAAGTAATCCAATCTTATCTTAAGGCTGGTGCGCAAAATCAGAGGAATTCCCATGGTACCCTGAAAAATATCGTCTCACAGTAGTTATATATTTTGTGAAATGATTAACAAGTAGACCGTAGAAGATCATATAAAAAAAATAATAATATAAGAAGATTCAAGAGTGCACAAGATTAGCATTCCGGAAGACAGACTTGTCAAAGAAAGAAGGACTAGGGGCGTAAGAAATCACTCCGAATCTGGCTAATCCGGCATACTTCATTCTACCCACCCCAAAATTTATGATTTTTTTCCCGGTTTTAAAAAGGGCA